TCGCAAGATGGCAGAACAGGAACTTATGGATGCCAGCGAACGTCTGCAGCTCTTGCACTCACAGGTGGGATTTACTATTGAATACCGTTAGATTTAGCAATAAATATGACTTTATTTCATTAAATGTTAACTAACGCTCCAAATATATTTTCATTTTCTAGAACACCAGCCTTATCGGCAGCAAGAAGAAATTAGAAAGCGACATTTCACAGTTGCAGAATGAAGTGGAGGAAGCTGTTCAGGAAGCCAGAAATGCTGAAGACAAAGCCAAAAAGGCCATCACTGATGTACGTATCCGTTCTTCTACAAACTCATAGCCTACATTACATCTAAGCCAACATTCCCACTGATTGTTTTTCTACACTACTAAAGGCTGCTCTGATGGCAGAAGAGCTGAAGAAGGAACAGGACACCAGTGCCCACCTGGAGAGAATGAAGAAGAACCTTGAACAGACTGTGAAGGACCTGCAGCACCGCCTGGATGAAGCTGAACAGCTGGCAATGAAGGGTGGCAAGAAGCAGCTCCAGAAACTGGAAGGCAGAGTAAGTATATTATCTGCAAACACTGTAAAGATTGTGGGGCATGCCAGGAGGAGAGGGGGACTTTACTGCATATTTTCTGGTCCTGCCCAAAATTAGAGCTTTTTTGGAAAGAAGTCCATAGAATCTCGCAAAACATTACTGATTATAATCTCCTGGAAGAGCCTGCTTTCTTCCTACTACATGTCTCTGATGTCCCCCCCACCCATTCTCCCTTCCCCTCTCCACCCCCCACCACCCATCCTCCCTTCCCCTCTCCACCCCCCCACCACCCATCCTCCCTTCCCCTCTCCACCCCCCACCACCCATCCTCCCTTCCCCTCTCCACCCCCCCCACCACCCATCCTCCCTTCCCCTCTCCACCCCCCACCACCCATCCTCCCTTCCCCTCTCCACCCCCCACCACCCATCCTCCCTTCCCCTCTCACCCCCCACCACCATCCTCCCTTCCCTTTCCACCTCCCCCATCCATCCTCCCTTCCCCACCCCCACCTCCCCATCCATTCTCCCTTCCCCACCCCCACCTCCACCCATTCTTCTTCAACCATCCACCCTTCCTCACCTTAGCCCAGTACTTTACCTGCACTTGCCCCACCCACACCTATTATTATATATCTTTTCCCCCACATTTATCGTATCCCCAGTGTTCACATTCCATATGCCTGAGAATATTGTTGGTCTGACTATATATTTGAGCTACAGAAAGTCTTAGTCTATGCGATGCTTAGACATTCTTTTCTAGGCCTTTATGTACACTATGATTGGTACATTTTGTTCCTGTACACTAGACTAGAATGATGACCTGCACAACAAGCACAGTTCCTGCATGCCCTCATTCATCTGTTTATTTTGTAAATCCTGGATACCTTAAATAAAGAATAAAAAAAAAAAAGACGGGGAAAATATAAAAATTCCAACATTATTTTTTCTGAAAATGTTCCCCCACAGGTGCGTGAACTGGAGAATGAGCTGGACAATGAACAGAAACGTGGATCTGAGTCCATTAAAGGAGTCCGCAAATATGAAAGGAGGGTGAAGGAACTGAGCTACCAGGTACAGTGACTTGCTACACTTACTATGGAAAAGCCCAAAGGGACTCTTGTTTTCAGGCAGTTCTTGGGTTCAACCATTTTTGTTACACACATGGCATGAGTATTCTGAATGCTCCGTATTTATTTTCTTTTTGTAGACTGAGGAAGACAGGAAAAACATCCTGAGGCTTCAAGATCTAGTAGACAAACTGCAGCTGAAGGTCAAGGCCTACAAGAGACAGGCTGAGGAATCTGTAAGTACAAACTGTATATTCAGAAGCCTTTTCTTCATAGAATACAATGGTTATACGTGTGGCGGTGCCTGCAGTGTGAAAGGTCCCTTGGGTTTTTTCCTGAAGTCGCCCCTCAGCCAAACTCACAATCGCTCCTTTTGGCTCAATGAATATTCCCTTTTGGGTAGTTTAGATAGGGATAGGGACTGTATGGGACACTCCGAAACCATGTACAAACAGAAGGACACTTTCTTCTTCAGAATTATGAGTCCTTGCACAAGTAAATGGTGGCCAGAACCTTGTAGTAGAAGCTCCTTTCACTAGGAATTAAATAGACCTTGCTCTTCAGGACACCAAACACAATGTCCTCTTTGGACACAGGTGACTCTAGCACCTGAGGGGCTTCATCAGCACATTCTCTAGGATCTCTCCCCCCACGTCTGTGCCCACTAATGTCCTTAGATCACGGGTGTCAAACTGGCTGCCCTCCAGCTGTTGCCAAACTAAAAGTCCCATGAGGCATTGCAAGCATGACACCCAAAAACATGATGGTACTTGCAGTTTCACAAAAGCTGGAGGGCCACCAGTTTGATATCCCTGCCTTAGATGATTGGCTGCCCCTTCCAATATCTTCCAGACACTTTTTCCCAGAGATACCAGACTAGATCCTCAGTTGGCAGGCCCCCGCAGTCAGCCTCAACAACTTCCAGCAAAAACTGGCCCTCCAGCCTGCCCAACTGACCTGGAATCTTTCCTAGATGCACACAAATTAACTCTATATAACATTTATAGGTAAAGTTGATCCAGGGAATATCCGATTGCCTCTCGGGGATCAGGAAGGATTTTTTGTCCCCTGCAGGAGCAAATTGGATCGTGCTTTGCTGGGTTTTTTTTTCCTTTCTCTGGATCAACTGTGGGTGTAGGATTAAACCTTTTTTTTTCTTTTTTGGTTGAACTGGATGGACTTTTGTCTTTTCAGCCAGACTAACTATGTAACTATATGTAACTGGGACCTCAACGAACAGCAGACACATGGCAGGCTTACCCAGGGGGAAAACGCCCCCCCCTAGGCTGTGATCTCCTCAGGGACAAGACACCTATGTTCCAGGTCTCATACTATTTATACACCTTCCCAGCAACCACCTGTGCAGTCTCCCACAGGGATTGGCTGAGACAGTATAAATATTCATGCTGTCCATTTGTCTTGTTCAACACCTATGTTCCAGAACCACTCAGAGTTCTAGAGTAAAGGAGGAGGAGTCAAACCTGCAAACAGACCTACATCATCACACGCAGCTACTCTGATTACAGTGAGCCCAGAACTAAACTCCACTATCCTGGCACCTATGTAGATGGGCGCAACATAAGCAAGGTTACACTGTAGGCCAGACTTTCATTGCGACTTGCAATCTGACAATTGATTACCCGTGTTCTTCAGGAGGAACAAGCCAATGCCCACCTGGGCCGCTTCAGGAAGGTCCAACATGAGCTTGAAGAGGCCGAAGAGAGAGCCGACATTGCTGAGTCCCAGGTCAACAAGCTCAGAGCTAAAAGCCGTGACGTTGGAGGAAAGGTATAACCGCGCGTTGTAATGTTCTGCCGCTTAATGTTCTTCTTAAATTACTTCTTACCTTACATTTATTTTATTTTGTTTTGCAGAAGGAAAGCGATAGTAAATATTTCTGAACGGTTGTAGAAGAAAGAACTGTATAAAAATTATGTTGTTCTAATATTTAAATAAATTATTGAAGCTTTATAAATATGTTGTGGCCTTTTTTTTTTTTTTTTTTTACTCTACCAGGCACAATTTTCATGTAACTGTTTTCTACTTTCACCCCTTGACCTCTGGAAGGTTTTTTACCCCCCTTTTTTTGTTGTTGTTTGCTATTCAGCACTGCACATCTTTAACTTGCAATTGCTTGGTCATGTAACACTGTACCCAAACTACATTTAGAAAATTGAAACACAAATAGAGCTTTCTTTTGGTGGTATTTAGTCACCACAATAGTTTTTTTTTTTTTTTAATAATATAAATGAAAAAATTCAAAAAAAAAAATTTTGCAAATCAAAAATATATCTTCATACATTTATGCCAAAATGTATTTTGCTACATTTTCTGGTAAAAATAACCCAAATCAGTGTATTTTGTTTAATCTTGTTAAAGTTATAGAGTCTACAAAATATATCTGAAATTTGCTCAGTCCTGTTGGATGATCTCTTTTCTCGGGGCCTTAAAATGTCAGGACAGTAAAAAACAAAAAACAAAATACCCCTCCAAATGACCCCTTTTGGAAAGTAGACAGTCCAAAGTATTTAGTAAGAGATATGGCAAGTTTTTTGAAGCTGTAATTTTTTGTCACAATTTTTGGAAGGTGAAGAAATTATTTTTTTTTACAATTTTTTGTTTTTTTACATACGTCACAAGCGCTCAGGAGTGTATGGAAAAAAAAAAAAATAAAATTTTCTGAAACATTTTTCTAAACATTCTTTTTGTCCGTACTTTCTTTAGAATAGTTCAATGTCACCATAGCGACAGTGTACTACTCTGGGGGGTGGTTAGGGACTCCTCCTTTTTACACTATGATTTCTATTACAGTGATTATCAGTTTAACAGCAGCAGTTTGAACGGTCATTAATGGATTTTATTCATAACAGCTGTGCTTACTCTAGTGATGTTGTGATTGGCCCAGCTATCACATGGTACAGGGTGCTGTGATTGACTAAAATAGTATGTGATGGCTATGGGCCAATCACAGTATCACTATAGGAAACACAGCTGTTATAAATTAAATGTGTTCTGTCAGGGAATGTCTGAATCATTTAGTCAGCTGCGTCGATCGTTTAAATTGATAGATGAACAAAATAAAAATAGTTTATACAAATTGACTACAGACTACTAAGATTAATATTTATTTACTATAATTCACTGTACAAAACCACGAACAGTCAAAATAAGAGGCGGACAAAGACACTAAATGATCTTCACAATGAATTAAGATATTTTGCTACAGCATTGGTATATACGAGGGTTCTTCAAAACGTTTCCGGCCTTTTTTTAAATGTATATATATACTATATCGCCAAAAGTATTGGTCGTCCGGCCTTTCCACGCACATGACCTTTAATGGCCCCCCAGTCTTAGTCCGTAGGGTTCAAGATTGGGCGCCGGCCTTTCCACGCACATGACCTTTAATGGTCTTCCAGTCTTAGTCCGTAGGGTTCAATATTGAGTTGGCCCCGCCCTTTCCATGCACATGACCTTTAATGGCCCCCCAGTCTTAGTCCGTAGGGTTCAATATTGAGTTGGCCCCACCCTTTGCAGCTATAACAGCTTCAACTCTTCTGGGAAGGCCCCCCACAAGGTTTAGGAGGGTGTCTATGGGAAGGTTGGACCATTCTTCCAGAAGCACATTTATCAGGTCAGGCACTGATGTCGGGGGAGGAGGCCTGGCTCACAGTCTCCGCTCTAATTCATCCCAAAGGTGTTCTATGGGGTTGAGGTCAGGACTCTGTGCAGGACAGTCAAGTTCCTCCACCCCAAACTGGCTCCTCCATGTCTTTATGGACCTTGCTTTGTGCACTGGTGCGCAGTCATGTTGGAACAGAAAGGGGCCGTCCCCAAACTCTTCCCACAAAGTTGGGAGCATGAAATTGTCCAAAATGTCTTGGTATGCTGACTCTTAAGAGTTCCCTTTACTGGAACTAGGGGGTCAAGCCCAACCCTTGAAAAACACCCCCACACCATAATCCCCCCTCCACCAAACTTTACACTTGGCACAATGCAGTCAGGCAAGTACAGTTCTGGCAACTGCCAAACCCAGACAGGATTGCCAGACAGAGAAGCGTGATTGGTCATTCCAGAGAACATGCCCCCACTGCTCTAGAGTCCAGTGGTGGCGTGCTTTACACCACGACATCCGATGCTTTGCATTGCACTTGGTGATGGAAGGCTTGGATGCAGCTGCTCGGCCCATGGAAACCCATTCCATGAAGCTCTCTACGCACTGTTGTTGGGCTCATCTGAAGGTCACACCAAAGTTGGAGGTCTTTAGCTATTGACTCTGCAGACAGTTGGTGACTTCTGCGCACTGTGCGCTTCAGCATGCACTGACCCCGCCCTGTCATGCGACGTGGACTACCACTTGGTGGCTGAGTGGCTGTTGTTCCCAGTTGCTTCCACTTTGTTATAATCCCACTAACAGTTGAGCGTGGAATATTTAGTAGCCAGGAAATGTCACGGATGGACTTATTGCCCAGGTGACCACCTATCACGGGACCACGCTTGGAGTCACTGAGCTCCTGAGAGCGACCCATTCTTTCACCAATGTTTGTAGAAGCAGTCTGCATGCCTAGGGGCTTGATTGTATACACCTGTGTCCATGGAGGGGATTGGAACACCTGAATCACATGATTGGGAGGGGATTGGAACACCTGAATCACATGATTGGGAGGGCGGGGCCAATACTTCTGGCAATATAGTGTGTATGCATAAAAGTGTGGAAACTTTTTGAAGACACCTCTAGAGATGAGCGAATTATTCAAAAATTCAATTCGGCTGATTCGGCGAATTCGTGGAAAAATTTCGATTCGAGTCGAATATATTCGCTGCGAATTTAACTTATAAAAGGGTGTTTCTAGGCTTCAGAGAGCCTTTATATTAGTGCAGAACACTGTACCTTTAATTTAAATGCCCTTGGAGTCTGCTGGGGAAGAGAAATAATACTGTCAGTCAGTATGACATGCAGATGAGTGCCGTCGATCTTAGAATCACCGCACACTTCACTCATTTGGGCAGTCACGGGGCCAAAACCAGAGTGTGGAGCCACAGTGTGGCGGTGGAGGCAGCAGCAATGGGAGGCCATACAGCACCCTATGACAAAATGGAACCCACCAGCAGTGTGAGGAGACCTGAAAGTGGCACATGGCAGAGTGTGGCGATGGAGACAGCAGCAATGGGAGGCCGTACAGGGACCCATGACACACTCTGGAACTAGCAGCAGCATGAGGAGGCGGTACAGGGGCCCATGACAGATTACGGGCCTGGCAGCAGCAGTGGGCGGGCGGTGGATACAGCAGTATTCGGAAGCCAAACACAGGCCTCGGATAAAAAGCGGAAGCCGTCAGCAGCGTGAGCAGACGACAGAGGCGCAGGGTGGCGGTGGAGGCAGCAGCAATGGAAGGCCATACAGCACCCTTTCACAAAATGGAACCCACCAACAGTGTAAGGAGACCTGAAAGTGGCACATGGCAGAGTCTGGCGATGAAGTCAGCAGCAATGGGAGGCCGTACAGGGACCCATGACACACTCTGGACCTGGCAGCAGCAAGAGGAGGTGGTACAGGGGCCCATGGCAGAGTGGCGAAGCGTAAGCAGCTTAAATTGAAGGCCAAACAGAGGCCTATGTTAAAAATAATAACATGTTTGGGGCATGATTCATGGCGGATTTAGTCAGTTGTGTCAGGAACTGGTGGTTTGAAATCCAGACTAATCCACGCCTGATTCATTTTCACAAACGTGAGTCTCTCCACACTTTGGGTGGACAGTCGTGTCCTCCGCGGAGTTACAATACCTCCTGCCGCACTAAACACGCGCTCCGATGCCACGCTACTGGCCGGGCATGACAGCCTTTCAAGGGCAAATTCAGCTAGTTGGGGCCAAAGGTCAAGTTTCGTTGCCCAGTAGTCAAGGGGATTGTCTACCTCGGTTGGCAGGGTGCTGTCCAAGTAGGCCCGAGCCTGTTGTTTGAGGTCCTGCTCCAGGTCCACCTGATGCTGCTGCTGCTGCGGCTGGTTAGTAGTTTCCTCACTGCGCTGGTGAAGAAAGCTACTCATCATCGACTGCAGACTGAGGCAGCCGCTGCTGGTGGAGCTGCCACTGCTCCTACCACCCCACCCCTCCCCTGCTGCCATGGCAGCGGAACGCGAGCGCACAGGGCCCACAGTGTCTGAGGATGGACGTTGGTGCAGAAAAGCAGAGACCAACTGACTACATAGGTGGTTTTTATAGTACGTTATTTTGGCCTCCCTCTCAGCAGGTGTGAAAAAGGCCACCATTTTTGAACGGTAGCGAGGGTCCAACAAGGTGGACAGCCAAAAGTCATCCCTCTGTCTGATGGTTATTATTCGGCTGTCACTACGCAAGCAACCGAGCATGCTATGGGCCATTTGTGCCAAGGAATGCGAGGGACTCCTTGCCTCCATCTCCACAGCATACTGCCACGGTGCGTCTGGGTCCTCTGTCTCCTCCTCCTCCTCCTCTACCAGATGCTCCTGCTCCTCCACTCCTGTCCGCTGAGTGGAAAAACCACCCATTTCACTCAATAATTCCTGAGCACCAATGTCCTCCTCTACCTCCTCCTCTTCTTCCTGTCCTGCCCCCACAGGGGTCATGTGGTGTTGAGATCTGTGCGCCACGTCTACCGCACCCTGACCAGCCATTGTTAACAGCATTTGTTCCAGGACGTGCAACAGAGGAATGACGTCGTTCATCCCATAGTCCTGCCGACTCACGAATAGCGTGGCCTCCTCAAAGGGCCTGAGCAAGCGGCAGGTGTCACGCATGAGCTGCCAATGGCTGACA